TAAATGCATTCTGATTGCAGTTTGAGGTGTTCCTAATCCTTCCAATGGTCCCCAGGGACGATTCTTCTGAATCCAACATCTCCATACGACGATTCTTCCAATGGTCCTCTACATTCTTCGATTTTGCTTTATCTTCATATCTGATCATCCATTGCTTTATCTCAGGTAAAGGGTTTATCGATTTCAAACAATCAATTTTGATGTCCTTCTTTATTCTGATCATCTCTCCAGGTTTGATTACTTCATCGTTTTTCAGGTTTGATTTCTTTCATCTCTACTTGGGTTTCGATGATTAGTTTCTTCTCGATCTTTCTCTTTTTATAATCGTTTGTATAAAGCTCAATGTACCTATTCCCCCCATTTCTTAAGTCGTTAAAACTAAAGATCCATCTCCGTCATCACACCAAAAACTTGCGAGTTGTGAACAATCTGCCCGAGGTTGAAAATATTTTCTGGTCAATGACAGGAGCCGACGATGAGAAAACCATCTATTCCATCTGCCTGAGGTTGACTGGCTTCTTAAAACTATGGTGGCTGGTAATTTGGAAGACATATTCCCAGCTGCCACTCGGGAATATGCACCAGTCGTTGAGGAACTATGGAATTTCAGCAATGCAGGCCAYATACAAGAGGCGAAGCGAATTGGATACACTGCCCTGAGGGTTTTATTTGCTTGTCACCTTGGTCATTTCAGCCGGGTTCTTATCTTCAACATCATTGTCATCAACATCTACTGAGATACCCACATCATCATAAACTCCATTTATTTCTATACATTCATTCATTCAGCGCCCTTGATTCACATAATTTTGTCAAAATGTCAAATTATTAATTTAACCATTGATTTTGAATTAGTTTGTGGTTAAGATTAAATCTGACAAAATGCCTGTTTGGGTTTCTGCTAAATTAATATTAGATGGCAGGCAGTAGAAGAAATCACATTAGATGGGTTTGGCTTCAAGTAAAGATTAACAGTAGATGGCAGTAAAGTGGGTTTGGCTTCAAGTGCTTTTTAAAATTCTCTGTTGCAACCATTTTACTTTCTCAGAGCTACCTAGATACAATTCTCTCTCTCCTATCTCCTCTTACCCCTCATCTATATCTTAGAGACCAATAGCTCACATGAAGATGATGTAATTAATMAGAGAAACACCCAGTAGAGTGATAAAGTAGTTGAACATTTCCTATTTTTACAAATTTCTTGGAAGCCTTTAATTTATTCATCCACAATACTATGTATTTGTTGTAGGCTATCTTTTAGTTGTCAGAAAGTGTGGAGATTTAAGGACTTGAGAAAACTATTTGAAGGTGTGGCRTTGTGCATTTATGAAGAAAACATAATACTTGATTATATTGTCATTGTGATTTTTTGATCTTATTTTAATAGATGCATAAATGGTTGCTGGTCCTCYACTGTTTCCTGGATTTATGGCTGCACCAATCTGTATTGCCAAGAGCTGAGTGGCTCCATGTACATATTGTGTAGGTTCAACTCTTGAGACTACAGAATACAGCATCAAATCAGAAAATCATGAACACAAAAGACCATTTTCCAAAAAGCCACAATATAGTGTCAAAACAGTAACAAATCCACCCTACTGTTTGCATTCTCTATTGTTTGATTTATGTTCCTATAGAAGTGAGTATTTCTTGGTGCTTTTGATGTTAGAAGTTATTTTGAAGTGAGTATTTGTTGGTGTTTTTTCTTAGAACCTGTTGTACAAAAAGAACCTGTTGCTGCTGTAATGCATACAAAATGAGCACCGTACCTATATAAAGAATCTTCAAGTTGTTCCAACATTTCTGTTTTTGTTCTTTTGTGTGTTTAGCAGTACAATGAAGGAACAAACGAAGTCTGATTAAGAGAACTGTTACTGCTTTTGTAGATGCAACTTGTAAATTTGTTCATTGTGTATATATTACAATACTCAGCTCACCGACTCCAACTACTTTGAACGTTCATTTGGAGACTCCTTGGATGCAGATATTGGTATGGATGCTTTCACAGTGACTGCTAAAGTGGAGATTGAACTATTACGCATTTGATCTAGAGGCGGTGGAGTTTGATTTTTGGTCATTTCGATTGATTAGCATATTGGTTTTTATTTTGATTTGTATAAGATAATTTTTTTTTCCAAATGTATTCATTAGATATATTTGTTTCATCCTTTATTATAATTATTTGGACACTATAATTGATTTTCATGCTTGTGTACAATAAAGTTTACCTTTTATTTCTTATTTGTTACATAGTATTTGATTACATCTTGTTAGATTGTACGTGTACTCAATTATAAGGAATCGAGGTTTAAATATTTTTAAGGGTTTCCCTGAAATATCAAATGTTTAAATATAAATTTTGTATTTTTTAATGAAATATTGCACTTTTTTTAGTTGTAGCTTTATTGAAAAAATTTGATATCCCGTAGCATTGTGCGAGCGTACAATACAAGTTATTAATGCACATTATTACCTTTCTTTTCATGTTACCAAGATATTTTTGACACATTTCAATCATGTCTTCACCTTCTCATAACTCTTGGTTTCGCTCTCGATCTCTTGATTATTTGCTCTTGGTGTAAATCGAACACATTTGTGGAATCGTTTAAATATGTTGGATTTTAAATTGTCATACAATTTTTTTCATCGATAAACTGTAATTGAAACCATAACTCTTATTTATTCAAATTGTATTAATATGTAAAAACCAAGTGTAACTTATATCATCGTTAAATCTTCTCTAATAAAACCAGTGAAACTTCATAATCGTTAAAATTCACGGCTCCCGCCGCATTGCGCGGGTACACAACTAGTATTATAAAAACATGGGAGTTGAGGTGACATCAATTATAGGTTTTGTTACTTTTGATGACCTTTTTGTGCAAAACAAATAGAACATGAATTGAAAAATAAATGAATCTATCAATATATTTGTATAAAATATAACTTTTAATATCATGTAGTTATGTAAGTCATGTTTTGCCTCTAATTTTTTGGAGTAATAGTTATTTTTTTTATAAAACTCTGATTTTTTGAAGTATATAATTTTTTTTAAAGTATATAATATTTATATACGGTAAATGCAACAAATAAATTTTCTCATTACTGTCAATATAAACAAAATAAGAAAAAAAATAAGATAAATGTAAATGATAATAAAAATAAACTTAGTAGAAAGCAATTGAGAATTAAGTATTTTAAGATATTGCATTAGTTTTTGGGCATCTAATATTAATGAGAAATTGATGTATTGATAGAATATGATAGTATATAAAGAGAATGATGTAATCCATGTACAACCAATACAACATAATTAATTGATATATTTATGAAAATGATAAGAGTTCATTTATTATGATTTAATTATTTATGGAAGATGAATAAGATTCATTAATTATGTTTAATCTTTTATATCATGAAATAATCAAAACTTTTATGAAATTACATATTCATCAAATTAAATGGACGGTTGAGATTGAGTTGTATTGGTTGTACAAATGTAAATGGTTCCATAATAACTCACAGTTACCACAAACAAAATAGTTTTCATTTGATTAGTCCCCTATAATATATATATATATATATATATATATAGAGAGAGAGAGAGAGAGAGAGAGAGAGATAGGAGCGATCAAATGAAAACCACTCTCATTTGTACAAATCGTACAAACCACCCTCATACATCAATTTCATTGTTTAATCTTATGGAGGAAAAAATTATGAAATTGTTTAATCTTGTGAAATTGTTTCATATAATACTTTTTTTGATAAATTTGTTTTATATATGGTTATGAAATTGTTTCATATATTTCTCTAAAATTAAAATAATGAAGATGATAATATACATGATTAACRCCCTCCACAATAAAAATGGTTAATCAACCTTTCATAATTACAAAAAAATGAACAAAATGAAAAATTATGATTGGTTGAATGTGGTTTTCACGGTTTGTACAAATCGGGTGGTTTTCACGGTTTGTACAAATCGGGTGGTTTTCACGGTTTGTACAAATCGGGTGGTTTTCA